CTGATAGCGTGATTAACCCATTAAGTCAAGGGGTGGCATGGGCTCAGTCCAAAGTATTTTACTGGATGAAAAATGGTTGGTTGCAAGATCTACTGACATCCCCGATGACCACGCTAGCAGTGTTTATCATTGATCGCTTGGACTTATTCCGACTGCGATCAACGTGATTGGCACATGGCAGCCAATCAGATTGAAGCCCCATTTTTACGATGTAAACTAGCGAAGGGCAATGTGGAGAGAAATTAATCGATAAATATTTCTGATGTCGGCATAACAACCACTACCAAAGAATCAACATTTGACTAGATAAGAGAGCATGTTCAGAAAGGAGGTATTACCAGACAAAATTTAAGTGTGTTTACATAAATCAGAGTGAATGACGGCGCGAAGCTATTTTGGCGGGAATCCATTAAATCACAGGCTAATTGTCCAAAATAGGGCGAAAATTTATGCTATTTTTTCCATTGGGACTTCTGAAACAGGGCGTAGAATACGGCTACTTCCACACTACGCCTCAGACAGTCTCAGAGATGGAATGTCATTCCAACAAATGCAATAAGTACCAATTCTTTCCATAGGCTAGCAGCAAGTTAGTTTTCCAAAGGGGAGGTGCAAACGATGCATATACCACCACATTTTTGGAATGCAGCTAAGGATTCCTAAGCTGAATGGCAAGATTTAAGACGTGGTCTTGGATTCGTGCACACGGAGGGCCGAGCAGTACGTTTGGCGCGAAAACAACGACGACTGAGGTGGTCTTGGAACTACCTGTGCTTACTAATGTGTATTTGCAAATGGTGCTCAAGGTCCCGGCGATTGGATGCGTTACCATCAAGGTAACAGATTATAGACGTTGAAAAGGCGTCTAAGATTTCCACAGAGCATGCATCACATATTTTTTCAAATAAACAAAGTTTAACAGAATGAATGCCTTTAAACCCTATTGGAACCACTGTTAATGAATAGGGTATGGAATATAATGGCTTACTGCGAAGGGACAAACCTCCTCGATGGTTGACGACTTAATTTCTAACACGTCGATAGCAGGATTGAAGATTGAAGCTCGCACACGTTTACCCGA